TAGAATTGTTATTATTACAATTGTCATTATTTTTGTTATCATCATCATCAATATTATATATAATAGTATTATTTTTATTATTGTTGTCATTAGTTTTGCTTTAATGCAACTATTATGAGATTGCTATAATTTTCCAAATAGGTACTTACTTAAGATTGACATTCGTATTATTTGTAAATACCCATGGAATGTAATGACAACTTTTTCAAAAGGTATTGTAATGAATTTCGTACTTATACAAACTGAAAAAAAACTTTAAGTAGCTTTTTAAATGTTTCTAGCAACCAGAATATCCATCAATCTTTTCATTAACTTCATTTTGTAGAAAATAATCTCTTTTCTGAGACAAGTCAGAAAAATTCAAGCCACTGTTAAAAATTAAAAAATTTTGTGGTGGACCGCGTCTGCATAGCACTGGCTTCCCGGTGGGAAATCGGCTAGCAAATAGCTAGCTATTATCGTATCAATAAAGACAGCAATTTGGCCATGAGGATTGCTAGCTTTTTAAAGTTAGCGAAAAGCTATCGATACTTGTAAAGGTAAAGACAGCAATTTTGCTACAAGGACAGCTAGCTTAATAAGCTGAAGTACCACTGGCTACTGTAGCTAGCGTCATATCGTAATAAAATCGCTCGATTGTCGCTAGCTCATTTCCCACCGATTTAGTATTACTGAATAAAAACTATTAACCGGTTTTATATTACTGAAGCATTACTAAGCACCTTCTTCATTAATTTTAACACGCGCGTAATCAAGCAGATTTCAGTCTACTAATGTAAGAACAAAATATTTATTATACATAGTTATGGGCGCCCGCAGAATTTTTTTGATGTTTTAGATATGACACTTTCACGCATTGTTCAAACTCTAAACTTAAGTATGTTCAAACATATATATTAAATAAAAATATCTTTATTATTGCCCTCACTTTTAGGGACTAGGGGTGTGGGGCAAACGTTTTAAAGTTTTTTATTTCCAGGCATCCACTTTCTTGATTTTTTGCAAGGCCTCCTCATTGAAACTCTAAACTTAATTATGTATATATGTATGAACATACTTAAGTTTAAAATTTGCCAAATGCGTGAAATTGTCATATCTGAAATATATTTTCATTGTTTGTTTTATACTCTATTGATATTGATTGCAAAGTATCACTGAAATTAACGGGACAAGATAATAAAGGCCATCGTCTTCTGCTCGTCTTCTTGCTTCATATCTTTTAAGTTAAGAACTTTGTGAGGAAAAAGTTGTATTGACTAAAAAAATCAAAAATACCTGCGGACGCCTATGTAAACAAACACAAAGAGTGGATTAGTTTACCTAAAAATTTAAATAAAGAGCTTTCGCTCTAGCGTATTCATGGGGAAACACAAGGTCAATTTGGACTTGCCAAAGTGTTTAAGAAACTTAGAATACAGACCAGTGCCTATTTTAGTATTATCTTTAATAAACTTATTTGACGCAGCAGTTAACGAAGTGTAAATTAAAAAGAAAAAGCCTTAAGGCTTTAAAGAAGATTTGATTGAATATTAAGTTATATAAGGATGGAGGAGAAAGTTATTTTAAAGGATGATTTCAGTTTTGAAAATATTTTTTTTTCTTCTTATTTTTGGTTTTCTTGTATATTGTATTTTCAAAAGAATTGCATCACAAAAACATCTTTTGAGCTTTAAGTTTGTTATAAAAAAACGTTTTTGCTTAAACGTGTATTTGTTAAACTAAGAATAAAATCTAAGATTTTTTGAACATAAAGTTCTATTAAGGCATATCATTTTATAGAAATAAGATTTTATTGAAAGAAAAATTACATACTAGTTTCTACGTAACATGTACAAGAATATCAAAACTGAAAAATGAGCATTTGCTTAAGAGTAATTGAATGTACACTCAATTTTAGTAAATACATATACTCTCTTTTAAGTAAATTAAAACTTAATAAATGAAAGTAGCTTTTTTTGATTGGATAGGAACTACCTATTAGGAAACACATCATTAGGAAAAATGTGATTTTGCTGTACAAACAACATCTTTTAACTCATCTTTTTTTCTATCACCCTGAATGCAGTTTTGCAACCGGTGAATAGTAATAATAAAATCTACTAATAGTAATAATAAAATTGTTAAGGAATAAATAACTATCGTGTGAAAAGTATTTTAAATGTGAGCTTAATTCTATCAATTTAGAAAAGTATTCCTAAAAGTAAAATAAATTCATTAAAAATTTATAAATATTTACAAATATAAATAATTCAAATAAACAAAATTTAAAACATTTTAAATAAAATGTCTTGTCATATATAACTTAAATTTTAAAGGTAATTAAATTTACGTGTCTAGACTGTGGATTTGAAAAAGAAAGACTGGTAATTAGCAAAATTCTTGAATTAAGTTTTACTTATCCTGTGTGGTCCTAACACTCTACAATTTTTTATAATAATAATAATAATAATAAAAATTAACTGACTATTTATAACTATTTTTTTTTAATAGCTTGAATTTACGTGATATGGCCAATAACACTTTTAATTTCTGAAACCTAAATATTCAAGACATTAAGCGACACTAAATTAAGGCTTGTGAAAAATACGTGTGAACATGGGTTGATACATCTCTAATAAGTCTAATCTAATGCACTCTTTCACAGGTTAAAAAAACTTTCTTTTTTGTGGGAGATGCATTATTTTATACATATTTGTGGCAATCCAAAAAAAGCAAACAAATAATTTTATATTACGACGCTTAACTGAAGTATTATTTTTAGTAGTCTATCTATTAACTTATTAATGAACATTAAGATTAAAATTAAATAAAAATTAACATTAAAATAAAATATACAAAAAAATTAAATTAAATATAAATTAACATTTACATTAAACAAATGTATTAGTCTTAATCTAGTAGTTCTATAAAGTATTTTTTATTATTTACAAATAACAAAAAAAATTTAACAAGTATTATATCCACATATGATCAAAATTGATTAATTAAATAATAATAATAATAACAAGAAAGTAAATTCAAATCATTCGTTCCAGAATTATAATACTGAATACTTTTGTTGCAGGTTTAGCGCATTTTATAATAAACAATTTTTGTTCCGTTTCCAGACCGAATTAAGTCTCAATAGATTTCAAAACATTTAGAATAATTGAAGTCTTATTTCATTACTTAATGCAACTAAAAATAATCCAATAGAAATAGATAAAATCAAATTAGCACATTTAGTTCATTTTTGAAAAAATTTTATAAAAATGTCACTCTGATAAATATATATATATATATATATATATATATATATATATATATATATATATATATATATATATATATATATATATATATATATATATATATATATATATATATATATATATATATATATATATATATATATATATATATATATATATATATATATATATATATATATATATATATATATATATATATATGTATATGTATATGTATGTATATATATATATATATATATATATATATATATATATATATATATATATATATATATATATATATATATATATATATATATAGGCCCGTAGCAACCAGGGGTAACTCTATCCCCCCCCAAAAAAAATTTTTTCAAATAAATAATTTTGATAAAAATTGACTGAAATGACTCAAAAAAAAAAAAAAAAAAGGTTTTTAAAACTATTTTGGGGCCCCTTAATCCAGCACTGTCCACCCCAAAGTAATTTTTGTTTCTACGGGCCTGATATATATATATATATATATATATATATATATATATATATATATATATATATATATATATATATATATATATATATATATATATATATATATATATATATATATATATATATATATATATATATATATATATATATATATATATATATATATATATATATATATATTGTAGTTTGCAATTTGTTAAAAATGCCAATACGATAGGAACTTAAAAATAATGGTATTTGCATTATTTATTACACGCTTTACCGGACCTGTTTTACGGATGGTTTATTAATTTTGATATGTACATCCGATTATAATGATATGGTGACACAATCAAAGACTAAACATTTTGACATTCAGACTTTTTTAGGGGAGAGGGTTTGTCAAAAAGTTGACCAACTCTAAAGGGGTACGCAAACAATGTTTACTCAAAAATAAAGTTTTGGTTTACTGAAGCAACAAAGTTTGAAAAAAAAAAAAGGAAAATGCATAAATTAGTAATTTATCTTTAAAGACAATTTTTATTTATTAGCTGTTTATTAACACTACTTTCACACACAAACACAAAAAATGACTTATAAAAAAATTCACATGAATTATAAAGTCACATTGAACCGTTCATTTTCAATAATTTAGTTCGCGCAAGTTAAGTTTCATGATCGATAAAGCATAACTTGTTTGTTGACAGTAGTTAACCATAGCAACACAATTGTCTTGTAAGTTGTTAAACACGCATATACATTCTCTTTACACTTATGCAAAATAATTTTTTGGAGTTTTGTCATGAAATTATTGACTGCCACGCTGCTTTCTTTTTAATTTGAGATATTTTATGAATCACACATAGTTAAAATATTTCAATTTAACAAGTTTTGCTCGATAAAAAAAAAAAAAGCTACACAACCTTGCTCGAGTTAAATATTTAACATTCCGCATTATTCGCCAGAGATTAAAGAATAGAAATAGTTTTATGTGGCACTTTCAAAAAATGACAAATATTTTAATTCTTTTGTCGATTGCTTAAAAATTAAAATACATTTCTTATGTGAATGTGAAACGTAAAAGCACTCAAATAAATAATATTTAAAATAAAAAAAATAAAAATTTAATTAATAATAGTAGTATATAACTTCGAATATAGGTATAAAAACGTTAGAAACGTTGGGTCAAATTTACTCCAACGCTGGCTTAACGTGTTGTGCTACTTGAGTATTCTTGGGAATTTGGGAATTTATGTTGAACATTTATTTTTTAATGGAGCTTAATATATGTTTTTTATTTAGATAAAAACACTTCTAAAGTTGATACAATGCTGTTTTTAATTTATCTTCTAAACATAATAATTCTAACGCATGCCGCAAAAAATGTTTTAAAAAAACACGTCTTACTTGATCCTTATGCAGTTTGTAATGATGGAAGTAAAGCAATATACTATATTCAGCACAATCCTTTACACACAAAATGGGTACTTTTTCTTGAAGGAGGCGGGGGATGTAGCACCGTTGTGGAATGTCAAACAAGATTTAAAACTAAACCTTACTTTATGAGTTCTAATTTATACCCAGAGATAATAGAAGGAAGAAACTTGTTTAATGATGCTTATTTTGACGATCACAACAAAGTATTATTAATTTATTGTAGTAGTGATTTTTGGCTTGGAAACCAAAAGCCGTTGTTTTTCGATGAAATAACTGAAAATGCTACGCGATTTCCAAAAAACGAAAGTGTTAATGCGACACAAAATTTAAACACTGAAGCAACTGAAAATAAAACAAGCAACGTAGTTTTTGTTAATGACACAGAAACATTAGATAAATTTATTTCATCACCAGAGAACAACATTCACGACAACACATATGATAATGACGGTAATTCTAACATCACTGATATTAGTGAAACAACTACACCCTCTGAAAAAATTTTACCAACTGAATTTGTTACAACATTACCTGTGGTTAATTTTTCGATCAGTAAAAATCATTTTCACAATATTTTTTTTGATAAAAGCCAATTTCACAACATTTCTGTCAATAAAAGCCAGTCCGATGAAGTTTCTGTCGGTAAAAAACATTTGGATAACATGTCAAATTATACTCAATTTAAACATGAAAAACAATTTGTTTTTAATGGAATAAATATTTTTAAATCTGTGGTCAGCGATTTAATGAATTATGGTTTAAATTTATCGTCAGTAATTCTGTTAGCAGGTTCAAGTGCTGGAGGTGTCGGAGCTATAAATCACGCTAACTATTTAAAAAACAAAACAAATGGAACTGTTTCTGTCTTGGTGGATTCCTCTTGGCTTTTAAATTACAACAATGATTTCAAAAGCTTGGTTTTTTCTCCTATAATGGAAACGGATGGATGTCGTGATACAAGTATGGGATTTCCGTGCTGTCTGTCAATTTCGTGCATAATTTCTAAAGAGCTTGTATATTCCAACATCCAAATAATGGCTTTAATAAGTTCGTTTGATATTTTATCGATATTTACTTCGGGAAAATACAACGCTAGTATTGACTTTTCTGATGTCATATCTGAATTTCAACAGCATAGTGGTCAACTTAAAAATTCCTTGAATTCGGTGAATGCCCACAAAAGTGTGAGCTACTTGGTAACATCTTGCATGCAGCATGTCTATCTTGCTACTTCAGATCTTTGGACTAATGTATACCAATCTTTAACTGAAGAAAATTTCCAGGGGATTAATTTAAAACATGTTGTGGATTCTAAACATTTTCAACAAACGCAAATCCACGGACAAAGCATACACAAACTATTTCTAACATGGTATACTGAGATAACAAATAAAAACGTATCCACTAGAAACCGCAGTCTTCCTTTACGAATAATAGATTCCTGCAAACAAGTGCAATGTGATTCTTCCTGTCCTGAAATCTTGTTTCCTATAAGATATCACGAAAAAACACCTGAGTGGCAACGTAATTTTCTTACTACTGTAATTGTAACTATCATTATTTTATCTTATTTTTTCAAACTATCATGGATTTTTAATAACTGGAAACTAAAACAAACACAATCCGCTCATTTAGCTGAAAATAAAAGTAAGTCAAAAGAAGAAAGCGAAAATGCTACTTGTTTACCACCGTGCCCTCAATACTCATGTATAGGAATATCTTGTTCTAAACTTATATATAACATTAGTTCTAATAGCACTCCACAAATAGAATCTAACCGTCGAAATCAAAATGGTATTAAAATTCAAAAGACCTTAACAAAATTGCGCCGAAAGAGTTCTCCAGGCCAATGGCGTAAAATTATTAAAGGGGTCTCTGCTTACTTTAACCCAGGGCAACTTGCTGCAATTATGGGTCCAAGTGGGTCTGGAAAAACAACATTATTAGATGTTCTCACATCAAGAAAGAACTATAAGGAGACAGAGGTAAGACAAATTTTGTGAATTAATTTGCCACAAAAATAATACACATAAATTGTTACTAGGCTCTGACATAATAAGTCATAAGTTTAAAGATGTTTTTGTAAATGTTAGCAAACTTATTTAAATTTTTTGCTTTATAAAATATTATTTTTCTAAATATTATAGTGCGAAGAAATGTATTTTTTACATATGCACATACCATTAAAACAATTTACTGAATATTATTTTATCATAAATCATTTTGTATACCAAACGTGGAATTAATATTATACTTAAAAAAGTAAAAGTTAAAACCTTTACAAAAATTGAAATAAAAGGTGTTTTAAAAATATTCCTAGTTGTACCTTTGACTAGTGTAGAATATTTTACTTCTTACGGGTCATAGATACTTTACAACGTAATTTTAGAAGTTGATACTTATAAAGTGCATGTTAAATTGTCACAAATATGGCGCTATACATCATTTTTTTTCGTTAAAAAAAATTTACATCCCGTTTGAAAGTACAACGTTTTTGTTGTACCACTGACCATTTTGCATCTTTTTTTAAACGTTGATTATAGAAAATCATCGAACTAGAAAAAATTTAAAAGTACAACCTTTATGATAGATACTTAAAAAAAGCACAAACTATGAATTAAAAAGTGCGTTTTAGTCTTTAACGTAAATGAGGCCAATAAGATTTTTGTTTTTACATTTTTGAACCGCATTAAAGTTGGTTTTAATAGATAATGTGATTGAAGATCCCATATCTAACAATGTTGACCAAAAAGCAGTGCCAAGTTTAAGAAAACGGAGGCCAAAAACACTGAAACTTTTAGGAGTCTCATTTTTTTAAACTTTTTTTTTCATGTTAAAATGTATGACGTATTTTATTTGTTTTATACTAAGAAAAAATTCTTAAAATGAAAATCAAAATTGTACTCAACACATTTCAATTATATTGAAAATTAAAAATAAAATATTTTTACTATTGATTAATTTCCATGATTAAATGATCTGATTGTCATCGTTACTAATATCAGATTGAGGCTTCTTAAAGCGCCAGTAATTCTAAATATATGTATTTAATTATGAAAATTTACATTGCATATACATGTATTATAATTCTCATTATAATTGGAGAAGACGTAGCACAGTGGTTGGCGCGCTTGAAGCCAAGTAAATTTTAATTTATTAAAAAAGCATACGCTAACAAAAAATAATTTGCGTCAAAATAAAAAATCTAAAAGTTCAGTAATAATGAAAATTTAAGTTATGGAATCTTTACAACTCCTAATAATTTTGAACAAACATGGACGATTTTTTATTTTTTAATTTTTTACCCAATTCATGTTCCCAAAGTTGAGTTGGCCACTTTATTTGAGGAAGCTACTTCTTATATTGGTTACAACTCTCTCTCTCAACTCTGAAAGAGGGTTGTAACCAATAGAAACAGGTTAATAAACATAAAACATATAATATATTTTATAATTCTTCTTTATGAATTGAAAAAAACTTAGCTTTCGAATTTAACTAAGAGTTAAATGAAATTTTGAAATTGTTACCGAATTTAACTGAAAGCCGAATTTCTATTTCAACTTCGGCACCGAAGTTGAAATAAAAATTCGGAAGTTAACTTCGTCTTTCAGTAAACTTCGTAACCGCATTTTAACGAATATTTGCCGGTCCTTAAGCGCGCTTGCCTCAGATCATTGGTTCAACGCGACCTCTGGGGAAGATTTATAACATCGGTGAGGAAGGAGGCTTGAACTTTAAATGCTATTTTACAGTGCTCTGTGATAAGACCATAAGGGTATCTTGGGGCACCTTAAATTGAAAAAAAGAAAATAGTATTGTAATAATCTTAGCAATATTTGTAATTTTGAATTTTTAACACCCCCTCCCCCATTCCCTCATTTTCCCTCTCCTTGCCTAAATATTTAAATTAGGGCACCTAAAGTTAAAAAAAAAAGTGATTTTAGAAAATGTTTAGTTTTTAACCTAAAAATAAATATTTAAATTAATAAAAAATCTAAATTAAAAAAAAAAAAAAAACGATGGCAATTTTTTTTATCTAGATCAATAAAATATGACTTCAGATTGATTTCTTAGTGTGAAGAGCAATAATTCTTTCAACCTGAAGACAACTACTTTCTGAATACAAATGTGTTCAGAAAGTAGAAGAATGCTCAAAAGTGTATTCAACTTTCAATTTCAACTTTTCAGTTCAAGAATAAATTGTACAAATTCTAACTTATTCTTCAATTCATTACACAATTCATATGTACACTTTAAGCAAATATATTGAAGCAAGATGATAGAATAATATACTTATCAGTAATATGTATTTTTTTTGTGTTGTTAACATAAATAGAGTATTTTTAAATAATTGTAAAACAAAATGGACACTTTTATCCAAAAATATATATAAAAAAAATAAATACTGCCACAAATATGCCTAATTTTTTTAAATCAACAACTCAAGTTAAGCCACTTTTAAAATTAGGGATGTACCGAAGCTTCAGCTTCGGTACATCCCTAATTTTAAAAGTGGCATCCCTAATTTTAAAAGTGGGAATTTTGCCGAAGCTTCGGTTCGGCCGAAGCTAGGTCAATTTTTTACCGAATCTTTGGCTTCGGAAAAAAATTTTAAGTAATTAAATTTATAAGCTACTGTTGTACAAGTTATAAAAATATGCTAATTGCCAGTGTCTAATTAAGTTGTAAATTCAGGACTACAGAGTTAAAGTTGTAGTCTATACCATATACTTAGTATTATTTACTCCCAAATGTCTTGTTATGGAGGGGATGATAATAAATAAGTAGAAATATTTTGAATATACTAGTAAAACTAAGGAAGGTCCTCATACACTTTGAAGGCTTCCAAGTGTGACTTTAGATGAACTGAATCAGCATTTTTATGCAGAATAAAAACCTTATAATTTAAAACAAATTAAAACTTTTTAAAAATAAAATGGAAAAAAAACTCTAATTTGTATTATGTAACGAATTTATATTAATTTTTGTGTGGGATTACCGCAAATAGAACAAAAATTGATTTCAACATTTGACCTATAAACCTTAGTAATCTCACTTTAAAGAAGATTAAAGGTATGTTGCTACTATTTTAAGTTCTGTGTATGTTTAATTTTTTTTAATTTTATTTAACCATAATAATAAAAATTTACAAAATTTCATCGTAAGATTACAGAAGTTGTTCAGGTGTCACTTATATAGTTACAAACTAGTCAATACAGTGACACATAAAAAACATAAATTTCAACAACAAAAAAGGAAGAAAAGCAAATGAAATATAAATGAGGAGAATAAAAAGAGAAAAAAAAAGTCAACCAAAACTATATAAATTAAAAGAAAAAGACAAACAATGATAATAATTATCCTTGCTCTTTTATTTATATTATGAATACTTCTAAATTGAATTTATATATTAAACATATAAACTTATAGTCTGGTTTCTTCTTATGATATGAAGACTTTTAAATTTTATTTAAAATAAATTAAAGGCTTTGATTACTTTGAGCTCTTATATTTATCATCAAAATTTATTTAAATTAAATAAACAATTTAAATCAAATAAATATCAGCCTGCTCAGTCCCTGTTTATTTATAAATATAAAGTAAATAATAATATAATTATAAATAAAAAATTTATAAAGTATTCTATTTATTATTTTATTTAAAGCTCACTCTACTGAGTTGTTAGATTACTATAGAAGTTTTTGTCACAGATAGTTAATATTTGATTTCAGATACTGATGCAGATTTATCCATTACAGAGACAGAAGAAGAATGAATAATATAATTTCAGAGAGTAAAAGATTAATAGAAGCTTAAGAAAATGTTATGTAGTGCAAAATTAAAAATAATAAAAAAAAAACAACTTAAAAGTGTGTAAAAAAGAAGTTAGAGAGAAATCTATCAATTGTACTTTTTTTTAGCAGCAGGTTCACAACAGTTGTAGTGAAATTGTTCGTTTAATGAATACAGAGAAGTAAAAAAAAGATATTGAAATAAATAACAATAAAAAGATAAAGTGTGTTTGTAAGATTTTTTATGTTGTAGATACAACTAGATCAGCTAAGAGTGTTTATTTAGAGAAAAAGTGTTCAAGTGTAAAAGATAAATTTACTTGAGTAATATTCAGAGATTTTTATTCACTCTTAACAAAAGGTGTATTAAAAATAAAAATAAAATATACAGCACATGAAAAGATGCGTAACAGTAGTTTATGGCGAATAAAATTTGAGGATGTTCAGCTAGCACACAGTAATTAGATAGAGCAAACAAGATGATTAAATAGAGGATTAAAAATTAGATGATTAGATAGAGGATTAAAGAGAAACGATGTTTACATAGAAGAACAGTATGGCTATAAAAGATCAAAAAAATAGCAATAATCTTAGAAGAATATTGGGAATAGTTGGAAATATATGTGAGTTACTGATATTGTGCACTATATAACATTAATATGGTTTGCACACAGAAAAAGTAGAACTAGAAGTAGGAAAATTTGAGGAGAATGTTTCAAAAAAACTTAAGTTTTAAAAAAAAACACTAGGTGCGGTAAAGTATCAGAAACGACATAATAAGAAACTTTCAAACAAGGGCGCTGAGAGCTTTTGCCCTGCCTGGGGCAGCAACCCTGAATTGTATCCTCATTTTTATACATTTTTTCTATATTATTAGTCAAGGATCTTAGTTTTGGAACCTTTTTTGTTTTACACCCCTGCTGATCTGAATGCTAATTAAATTTTAAGCATATATAGTGCCGAAGCTTCGGCTTCGGCAAAGTGGCTTCGGCCGAAGCTTCGGCTTCGGCAAAATTTTAGCTTCGGTACATCCCTATTTAAAATATTATAAAGTCTGTATGATGTTTTGTTGACTACGACATATTTCCATTAAATACTCTGGTCTGTGAATTATGAAAAGACGAAAAAAATTAAAATAATAAATTTTGCCTTATCATAAAATCAAAAGGTTCGTAGCGAAAAAACCCAGACCGTGGAGAATTAAAAAAAAAAAATCCTAAAATCACAATCGCTCGTCCAAATTTAAACAAAATTTTATATTAATACGTTTTTTAGGTGAAATGAACATTATAGTTTAACAATATGATCTGTTCTGATCGTTTAATGGCAATTTTTTATAGTTATAAGCTCTTTCTTCGTCGGAATTCCAGTATTTTTTGTGAAAATTGATAGAAATATTGTGTTTTGACAACTATATATAGTTAATATAAGTCAGAACCAATTAGAACTAGGATTAGTAGTAAATTAAGAAACTTTTTAAAAAGATTTAAACTAAATTCATGTTAATGCCGATGAGCGGAATTGATCTAAAGACTCCAAAATAGTGTTCTTTAGATACATTATTACAGGTAGTAAAAAGATTTTGAAAATTATATATAAAAAAGAAAAGTTTCTTTAAATATTATAAAAACCTTAAGTAAAAAAAAATTATAACATTTAAAGTTCTTGTTTGGGCATAATATGCTGACGAAACCATGCTAATTCCAAATAAAAGTATTTAAATATTTTGTAAATCGCCGAGAATACAATACTAGAATGGGATAAAAATAGTTTAGGAGTTTTTATTGACAAGAATCTATCTTGGAGAATACATATCAGTAATATTTATTATATTATTGTAAAGCTGCAAAAAGCACTGGAGTTTTATTTATACCTTAAAATGTTTTAAATAAAAACCAAAATAACACAGTTATACTATTCATTTATTCATTATCATTCAAGTTAAGTAAATATTATATGGAAGTATACAAAAAAACAAACAAATTGAAATTTCTTTTTAACACTGCACGCATAATAAATTAAATAAAAATCATTTTCTGTACATTTTTTTGTGGAAAAATGTACAGAAAATGATTTTTATCTGGAAAAGAACAGCTCTGCCAAATCTCTCTGGAACAAAACAGCTTTGCCAAATTAAAATTAAAATTTTGATCATAAAAAAAAACATTTCCGATTTTCTTTTTAATAATTTTAGTTGTTATGTTATTGTTATGTTACATTTTGTTTTTTGAATCTTTAGGGTTTTTATGAGTCTTTTTGGAGTTTTTTTGTAATGTATGATTGTATTTAATATATAGTTGGTTATATATTGAATACAATAACACTTTAGGTAAATTTTTGTAAGGACTTTGTGATAAGATTATTACTTTTTTTTTGAAATGCTTGTACCATTTTAAAATAAAATGTTATTGTAAATATTGTTATACAGCAATAACACATATATCCCATAAATAAGGTATAAAAATAATTGTAGTCTTTATATGAAGTATCATTTACATCAGCATCTGTTGTTTTCTTTTTTATTTGTAAATGTTTTCCTTTAGGGTTAATAGATTTTATGTATTTAAATTTATTTTCACTACAAACTAGTATTTGTTAGTAATTTGACAGTAAGAAATTCAATAATCCAAAAGAGTGTTTATAAGTCTTTATATAAAGTGGCCATCACACAAGCATCTATAAGGATGACAGATGGAAAGTTTCTTAATATCTTATTAATTAAACATGTTAGTAATGCTGTAGTAACAATTTTGTTGTTGTTATTAATGTTATTATTACTTTAGTAAGCATTACTTTATTAAAACAAACAATGTATAGTATAACCCTTTGTTTATCAACTGTGTGCATCTTTATTTCTGTGAGTCATAGTTTATTTATGGAATGTTATTTAATGGTATTTAAATGATGGGACTTTAAAGTCTTTGCATTTTTGTGTTTAGATTGTTAAAATTTAAAAAAATATCATTACATAAAACTTCATTTTTTTATTTACATAATGTCTACTGAAGCACACATAATTAATCTTAGTAAATAAAGTGATAAAATGAATGTTGCTTTGCTTTAAGCTTAAAAGTTATTTTAATTTTTTCCAATCAAAATTTATTTTAATAATTTATTTTTTCAGAAACATATTTTTATCAATGGATTGCCAGCAGAAGAAACTCGAGAATGGTTTGTTAAGAACTCTGGTTATGTTCTCCAGCTTGCTACTCCATATCATGAAGAGCTGACTGTGAGACAAAATTTAACCTACAGCGCCATGTTGAGACTGCCATCTAAAATGAAGCTGAAAGAAAAAATGTCTCGTGTTGAACAAGTTCTTGGTCAGGTAAAACATTAAACATTTTATAAAACTTAACATAAATTAAAATATATTACATCAAAAACATTGTTCTTTGTTACAAAAACATTTAGGGTTTCCAGGTTCGGCACTCTATTCTCCTATTTAAAAGCCAGACATCTGGCAACCTTTAAATATTTTTAAATTTCTTGTTTTTTATAAAGTTGTTTTTATAATAACAGACAGGTTTGTACAGCGTAGCTGATGTTGTTGTTGGTGGTAGCAACTGTAAAAGTAATGGCCTAAGTGGAGGGCAGGTATGTTAACTTTATTTAATCATAATATTAATGCCGAGAAAAGATCTTTTAAAAAGGTCCACAATAAGTAACTCTTTAGGTGTTTCCAAGGTGATTTGGCTTGTTATGTTTATTTCATAAGAAAAACATCAACAAAAAAAAAAGTTTTAACTTATACTAAAAATTTAATAATTTTAGAATACACTGAAAATTTAATAATTCTAAAATGTTCCATAATTTAAAATTATTTAGTTTTGTTTTGTTGTCATTATTTAATAGATATATAAAATTTTTTTTTAATTAAAAAACTTAAATTGTATGAACTAGAAAAACAGGTAGATAGGAAAGAATTCTAAAACATAGATGTTCAAAGAAAAAAATTAGATAAACAAAGTTTTTTGAGCATATGAATAATGCATATGAATCCATATAAGACAGCAATATTCTTTACAAGGACAAATCTTGGATCTATATTTATTTGATTAAATGCAAATTTTTAAAATTTCTACTAGAAGATTGTGCTTCTGTTTTAAATCTTTTCATAAAAAATTAAATAAGTGTTGGAAGCAGTAAAGAAAATTGCCAACAAAGATCTAAAGGATAACATTATGCAAACTAATCTTGTAAACATTTTATCTCTTTCAGCCTCAGAATAATTTAACAGAAACCAATCTCAATATAAAACCTTTTCAAACCGAGTTATAATTCCTATCGAATAAGTTAAATCACATTTGTATAAAATAAAATTTTTAACTTGGAATGTTTTATATTTTATATTTTTTATATTTTGGGCGATTTGATTGTTTCTGAGCAGGGATCTGCCAAATTCTTTGAGTTTGTAAAAAATGTTAAAACGTACAAAAAATTTTATCTTGTGTAAATTTAATTGGTCAAAAATGCACTTTAAAAATAATTTTTTTTACAGTTTACCTTTTTCTATCACAACAACCAGGAAGTTGTGAGGAAAAAACGCTGTGTTGAAGCAATGTATTTTTTGTTTTTTTGTCAATTTCTAAATAAGTTAATATGCTCTATGATATGAGCAAAATTATTTATATTACAATATTAAAAAAATCTATTTTTAAGTTTAGAAACGACGTTTGTGTGTTGGATTACAATTGGTTGATTTGCCTAGTGTAATTTTTCTAGATGAACCTACCTCAGGTATTATTTCATATATACAATTTTTATAAATGTAGTTTTTTAAAAAATGTTTAAATTTAATGTACATTTGGAACTAATTTGTTAATAACTTTAACTTTTATATATAAGTTAAAGTTATTAACAAATTAGTTTATCTATTTGTACTTATTACATTAATTAATTATTGGTGTTCTAAAAAATAAATATTTTCTGCCATTCATCTTTAGTAATAGATTTTGCATAGTTATGAATTAGTTTGAACATTCAAATAAATTTAGAATGTTGCTTGATTTTGGTCCAAATAAATCAATTAAATGAGTTCTTGGTTTCAAAAAAGAAAGTTTTGGAAAGCCTATATCGTGTTTCCAGTTTTTTCTTATATTTTTAGGAATTATTTTAGCAATTTTATGAGTTTTATTTTATTTTTATTGCAATCAGACACAAGTAGTAAGAGAGGAAACATTTCTTCTGCTAAATACCAAAGATGTATATTAAATATTTTAAGAGCAGCAACAGCAGCATCATTGTCACTTTTTTTATAGTAAAGCATTTCTTTGTAGGATCAAAGCATTAAATGATGCATCAATTGTGTTTGTACATGTAAACCATAATTTCACAAAAAATGCATAAATGAGTTTTTTCCTGGAATTCCAAAAATTCACTTGAAACTCCTTTAATTTTCCAGAAATTTCTGTATGTTTTTTGTTGTTAATATGAAAAAAATTATATAAAATTTTAAATACAACAATGTTTGCATTTAACAAATATGATATTTGCATTTAAACAAATATGAAAACAAAATAAAATTTAAACAAATTAAAATTTTCACAAGATCAATTTTTATTACAATTTTATTTTCTTTTTTTTTTCTTTTTAATTCATTCAAAATAACTTTTTAGAATATTAGAAATTCTTTTTGTAAAAAGTTAAATAATCTAATCTCCGTATTAAAAATTTACAAAAGTTTAAAAAATTAAAAAAAATGAAATTACATCAGAAAAATAGAAAAGTTGAAGAAGCTTTTTATAATATAAATTTAATGTGGAAAAAAAGATCTATTATTGATCATGAAAAAAGTGCAGAAAAAGAAAAGCTAATGAATGTTTTGCAGCAGAAAGTTATAAGAATAAAAAGAATTCATTTCTGAACCATTGTCTGACATTTTATATTTTAAAAGTAAATAAAATATTACGGTTTGCAGATTGTTTATGGTAAAACTGAGATATTATATTTGATTTAAGACTTTGAAGAAATATAATTATTCAGTAGTGTTTAGTTACTTTATACCTTTACCAAAATTCCAAAATTTACCCACATACCATTGTCAGTCTGTTGACAGTATAATTTTCCGGGATTTTCCCGGTTGTTTATTAAAATAATTTTCTGGGATTTTCTTAGAAAAAAATTTCCAGGATTTTCATAAAGTTAAAAACTAAGAAAATCGCATTGTAAGTTTACAAAACTGTGATAATTTCTCTATATAACTTCATATTCTGTCAATTCAGCAAAAGCAAACATTTTTGATATGTTTAAAGTTGTACTCATCATTATGAATGACACAATGAAAGCATCAGGTTTATGCCACTGTACATTTGTTTTGCATTCAGTCTTTACTTTATTTGTATCAGGAATCCTGGACATATACAACAATTTTCCTTCAGGTGGTTTTCCTGTTACTATAATACTACAATAGCCATTCTATTTTATTGTCTACCTCATACATCAGATACCTTTGAAACCCAATGAATCTTTTTACTTTCAGAGTACAACTTACATCTAATGGACCAAATATTTTTTAATTGACGCTGATCTAAGAGAAAATCTAAATCTGACTATTGATGTCACAAGATGTGTCTTGTATAATAAAATCTTCTGCATTTGATGCTGCAATATCACATAGAGATGGCAACTTATTAGTAAAGCTAAGAATTTGAGCCATATAATATTAAAAAATCTTTTTCAAATTTTTTCTAACATGTATCAAATGTTAAATATTTTTTTTTCTTTTTTGTTTGAATTCCTGCCATTTTTCAAAATATATTCTCTTTTTTGCATACTAAAGATGCAACTTCTTTTTCACTAGTAAGTTTCATATCAAATTTTGTAAGATATAGATAATGATGTAAAACCTTTCCATTAGTTGGTAATTGACCAAATAACCTTATTTCTAGGGTAGGTAATAGTTTCCTAACAATATAACTTTTTCTCAATTTAATATTGGTCATTTCAAATTGAATATTTTTTTTATATATGCTATTATATCTATAGATGTAAAAAAATAACTACAAATTATATAAATATAAAATTATATAAAAGAAAACAATTAAATTCATAGTAAAAATTTTCCTTATCTCAAACTTTGCATATAATTTGCGTAATTTAACAATTCTTTATAATAAAAGAATTAGTTGGTTTTTAAGGTACATATTTTACTTATGTTTACTAATATCATTTAATACATAGTGTCTAGTTATAATGGTGTCAAAGTTGATACAAAACATGTTTAATTGAAACATTACATTTTCATATTTAATCTAAAATCACTGCTAAATAGTTTTTTAAAAAGTTAGTGGCAGAGAGGGTAAAACTTTTAAAATGAGTTCAGGGAGGGTCAAACTTTATAATTTTTTAAAAACCTTTTTATTTTTGCTTTTAATGACAAAATGACACACAAAACTGCTTGAATAATATATATATTTTTCTTTTGGGACACCCTAATATGTATATATATATATATATATATATATATATATATATATATATATATATATATATATATATATATATATATATATATATATATATATATATATATATATATATATATATATATATATATATATATATATATATATATATATATATATATATATATATATATGTATATATATATATATATATATACATACATTTGTATGTATGTATATATATATATATAATTATTTTTCTATCTCTTACTAAAAAATATTGAAGTAAGAACTAAGTATTGAAATGGTTGGTGTGGGCTAGACTTACCAACACTTGTATTTTATGGGTCCGGATAGCTAGTAATAATAAAAATAAGTGAAGCTAATAGCCTAAAATTATATCGAACTAGTTTGCATACAGTTTTATGTTTAAGTTTAATGTTTTTCAAATTTGATTGGTAACATTTAGGTTTGGACTCTGCATCATCATTAGAGCTTTTAGAAATGTTACATAGTTTAACACTCTCAGGTCGACTTGTTGTAGTGACAATTCATCAACCAAGAATTGAAATTTTTCACATGTTCGATACTATTCTTTTTTTGTGTGATGGCCAGGTAAGCTTTTTTGTGTGATGGCCAGGTAAGCTTAAATGCTGCTATAGTTACACTGAAAAATTTATACAGTTACGTCTGAAAAATTTTTAAAAGATTATTAATTTATACAAATATTTATTTAAAGGCAGCTTATTTTGGTTCTCCATTAATGGCACCAACCATGATTGCAGAAGCTTTACAGGGTTCTGGAAAAGTAATAAAATTTTGTTTTAGTTCAAAGTTAGCCATTTAAATATTTTTATTTAATATAACAAAATCCATCTTCTTAGATATCAGATTCTTCTAATCCTGCGGATACAATTATGGATGTCTTAAATAACACAGAGTTGCAATCCATCATTGTTGATTACTATAACCATAGTGGTGAGATAGAGGCCATCAATCGAGCTATCGCTCGTGCTAAAAGACACCCACAAAAAACACTCAGTATGAAGTTTCAAAAGTGAGAAATAAATAAAAAAAAGTTATCAAAATAAAAACAAAAACAAAAACAGGAATAATAAAATACTTTGTCTTTGATATTTATTTTTTAACTTTTATTTGGATTTGAATTAATTTTTATCATAGACAAACATCTAGCATATCCGATCGTCTGATTGCTCTAGATGGAAGAAGTTCTTCATCACAGACTTTAGCTCAAAAGCTCTACTTCCCCGTTATATTCATGCTGTTTTCTTTGGCTTTAGGTAAAACTTTAACTTTTATAAAAACTTTAGTTTTATGTTAGTTATTTAGTTTAAAGCAATTATTATTATTTTTTTAAGGTACTTGTTATTTTAAAACAAAGAAAGGAATACTTTTGATGTCATGTTATATGGTTTTTTTGTGTGCTAGTCAACTTTTTATGTCTTCGGTAATACATGCTCATTTAAACAAGGCATTTGCTTTGTTTTCTCTTGAAAAAGCTGATGGTATTGGGTTTTCTCATGAACTGGTACTTCACGCTTTCATTCGTATATTTTCTCAATCATCAGTTTCTTTGATTTGTGCATGTGTTATAATTCATCTCTGTGCATTGAAAGTATATGACCTTGAAAAGTTTATTCTTACTTCAATAATTCACTTGCAATTGAATCAAGTGTGGATTGCGCTTATTATATGTATTGCTTGTATGACTCCAAGCTACTCTCATTTGTTAACCCCCATAGCCTCAGGTAAGTTGTTTTTATTATATATTGTATATAATTGTAATTTGTTTAGTTTTTGCATTCATTTATTAATCTCGAACTGGTTATTTATATACTATGAATAATTTATTCCGTTTGTGATTAATCTTTTCACTGATCTTGCACTTTACAGTTTTATCAATCTTGGAATGGTTCTCTTGATATTGTTTATATGTTTTCATTTATTAGCTGTTGCTGGTTTTGCAGGAGGTTTTCTAGTTCCAGAACCACAAATGCCTATTTATTACTACTGGCTATTTTACATCAATCCAACACATTGGGCTTATGGTAGCACAATGTTTGTTATAATGAATGATCTTACATTTGAATGCAGACATAAAACAATTTTAGAATGCCAGGATAGCACAGGTATTTTTGCCTTGGTTATTCATTAGTGTTTTATTATAAATATTTTCATAATTAAATTTGCTTAAGTATCAATTATTATGTTAAAAAGTTAACTTTCCTTTACTTTAGGAGCTGTAGTTACCATTTTTCTTTAACTAGATTTTGTTTACTTTTAGGAGCTATGGTTCTTAAAGGATTTGGTTTTCATGAAATCAAGCCTTATCGCTCAATGTTAGTGTTATTAACAATGTTAATATCACTTCTCATTATGTCTGCCCTTGTGCTAGAAATTACTCATGCTAAAAAGAAATGGAAGCTTGTACTTGTAAATAGTATGAAATCTTTTAAATTGAATTGTGTTAGGTAAGAATTTTATCACAACCTTAATAATTATGACCTGTTGCAGTTAGCTTAGTAAGTTAGCTTAGTTAGATAAAAATTAAATGTGTATACTATATTATACCTTAAATAAAGGATAAAAATTAATTTGATATAAATGTTAATTCTCTAATTCTTTTAGAAGTATAGAATATAAATATATATTTAAATAATAGATAAAAATTAATCTTTATTCCATACTTAAAAATGTCTGGAAGACATTTAAGAATATCACTACCATTTTTATCTCAGGAACTGTTACACCTTTTGAAATTTTTTCTGTTTAAAAGAAATATTTATTTTAGGATCTCATTCATTTCCCAATTTGCTATTGAAGTGAAAGATGAGTTTCTAACCCAATAAAGTATCTTTGTAACTAATTTAATTTTCTTTTTTTCTTGATCTTTTTTATGGTTTCATGATTTTGAAAAAAAGATTAAACTATGATATGTATCCTTCAGGGTTGAAAAAAAAAATTGTTAAACGATTCCCTGTATCACACCAAGATGAAATCTTGCTACTATTTCACATGTAGTTTTAATTAATCCATTCTCTGGATAGTTGCAGCTTATCAGTGTATTGGTCCTCTTTACTGTATACATTGAAATAAAAAGATATTGATTCCATTTCAGAATAAGAGACATAAGAATAAAATGAGTTTCATTTTCAAATCTATTATTCTTTTGTAAATCATTTTGTACATCCTCAGTTATAGTTATTTTTCCTGTGGACTTCTGGTCAGGTTTTTATAGAATTCAACTTCCTTTTAAATGGCATCAGATATTTTTGCAGTCAAAAGGTTTATTTGAAGTCTGTTTCTTGAAACAAAAAAATTTAATTTGAAAAGATGTTTAACCTGAGATAAAAAAAAAACTCAATTTTATACATTAACATGTATAAGAAAGAACATACATTAACAAATAAATTAATTACACACAAGTTATTTTCTTAAAATAGTAAAAATATTTTAATATATAAATTTTTTTTTTTATTGCTAAAATTTAAATTCTAATTGCTTTGCACAAGATATTTATTACTATCTTGAAAAAGAATACTTTAATATCTCACATGCATTGAAAAGAACACTTTTATATCTCACATGCATTGGAAAGAACACTTTAACATTTCACATGTGCTGGAATGTTGATTATAATAAGCCAAGAATAAATTTTATGTATGATATTGGAGATGAGTATCATTGTTGTCCCCTCTATCCTACCTCATCCCTTTACCATTCTACTACTTGATTCCAGAGTAATTTGAACATACATTTACTTGCCCAGTGTTTATTTGGTTTACATAAATGTGCCAGGCCTTTGTTATAAAGTTTGTTGTGCTTTACCTTATAAATAAATTAAACTTTGTAACATTTGGTCTTTAAAAATAAGGTAAATTTAATTTAAAAAAAAATATTTACAAGCTGCAAGGAGTTAGGTTTTTTTTTCTGATAATTTCTAGCTCAATAGTCAACTATTTAACTTTTTTTTATTTTAGGTTTAAATAAATATTTTCCTTGACAAATAAACAATAAAAAAATAAGAAGAAATATAATAACAATAAGAAAATAGGATCCTGGAAATTTTTTTTCTTCTTCATATTAACAAATATTAAAAAAAAATTACTTTTTATATTAAATAAGGAATTATATAAGAGCAATTCAGATTTAAAAAGTTTTGTTGACTTAACTGTTTTGATAAAATTGTAATATCGTAACTGCTACAAAAATAAACAACATTGTTTGTTGTTTATTTCTGTAGCTATGCATTTTTATTTCTGTTGCTATACGTTTTAATGTTTGTATATGTAAAAGACATAAACTCTTTTGTGTTGCATAATTTTTAGCATTTTTAAATCTAATAATAAACATAAAATTGAACAGGTTTAGAGCATTAAACAAATATATTAGGCTGTTCAAAAATATATTATGCTGTTCAAAAATATATAGGGCTGTTCAAAAAATTGATAAAATTAATTGTTATATATCATATGTAATGTAATATATATATATGTATTAAAAAACTTTTTTATTGATAAATTCAAAATAAGTAATTGAAAGGTTGAAATGTGTAATTTATGTGAAAAAACTATAAAATATATAATGATATAAAATATAATGATTTGTTTTTTCAGTTTTTAAAATTCCAAAATTAACTAATTTTTTGTAATTATATATATATATATATATATATATATATATATATATATATATATATATATATATATATATATATATAGTAGATTATATATAAATATATATATATATATATATATATATATATATATATATATATATATATATATATATATATATCTATAGTAGATTATATATAAATATATATATATATATATATATATATATATATATATATATATATATATATGTATATATATACATATATATGTATATATATATATATGTATATATATATATATGTATATATATATATATATATATATATATATATATATATATATATATATATATATATATATATATATATATGTATATATATATTTATGTATATATATATTTATGTATATATATATATATATATATATATATATATATATATATATATATATATATATATATATATATATATATATATATATATTAAGTTATTTTTTTAGTTATTATCAATCATTTCAAGATCATCTTAATGAGAAGAAAAAGCGTAAAGAAGCTGAACGTCAAAGATTATTTGATCTTGCTGAACAAAAATATACATATAAAAGTCCTCTTAAAGCTAACAATGTTTCATCTATTGAAAACAGTAAGGATAATATGCTAACAGAAAACAATGTAAAAAAGGAATTAGCATCAGGTATTTTTAAAAATAATACTTATCCGTTATAAAAATTGTTTATAAAAAATAAATTAAATAAAAATATTAAAAAAAAGAATTTATAATAATTTTTCATAAATCTAATATTTTTTTATGAAGGCAATAGACTAAAAAAAAAAAAAATAATAAATAATAATTTCTAAGTATAAAATTTTAGACTTAAAAACTAATCTTGAATATCACAGTTTAATATCCTACAGTACAATTATACTTCTTATAATTGTCTTCTAATCTTTTCTCTATTTTCTGCTGTTACTCACTTTTTATCTTTATAATTGTCTTTAATTTTTGGTCTTTTTTATCAATAATTATCAATAATGTACTATTGGAAGTGAAAATATAAAGATAGCTTAGTGTTGTCTAAAGGTGTCTAAATACTGTCCAAAGATGTCAAGTTTATCTCTCTGAAATAATGAATTTTTTAGTTTAGGTGTAAGTGTTAGGTATATTCAGGTTAGTACGTTTTCACATGGAATAACTTGACGATTTCATGTAAAAACATACTAAATAAGTAATTAATACAAAGAAGTTGATGTTTATTAAATTTCAGAAAATTCATCCACCCACCCTGAGATTTTTATTACTCCCTACCTCTATTTAATTTTACTTGTCATGAAGAAATAAACTGTATCTCAAAACAAAACAAAAAAGTTGTTCAGTTATTGTTTTCTAATTTTTGAGACCAGCTTAGGTCTTAGCTGAATTATAAAAATGCAGATGTATAGGCTCAATATTTTTTTAAAGTTGTTTTAAATAATTATTAGAATTATTAGAGAATAATAGTTAGAGTTATCACAAGGAATTGGATTGTGGTCTTTTCTGACAAGAAATAAAAAACATAGTCAAATGTACATCATTGGTTATGAAGTTTAATGAGAAAAAGTTTAAATTAATAATCTGACTTTTTTATTTAATATTTTTTAATATTTTATTAATTTTTTATTACTTTACTAAACAATTTTTTGCTTGCTAAATTGATTTTAATGATAACTAAAAACAAAAAATTATTTTATTCTAAAATAATTAGTTGTTTTTTTCTTGACTAGTGGCAAACAATTGATTGTTTATTTAGTTCGGCATTTAATAGTTTATAAAATCATAGCTAAAGTTCATAGTCAGAATAAATACAATTTAATTATAGTCAGAATGAATACAATTTAACAATATGAAGCAGATATAAACAATCTTGTATCAGAATCAGTTAAACAGGTGGGTAGGAATTTTTATTTTTATTCCTATAAGTGAGTTTATATTTTTTAATTTTTAAGACCTAAATTTGCTTTAAAAGTTAGAAAGTAATAACTAAAATATTTT